CTAAAAATTTGGATAATGATAAGAGCCGCCGCTATGAGCTAATTTGGAAGACTATTGATAAGAATTGGGATAGGCAGCTATATCGAGCATTGCATGCAGCTGGTTATTTTTTTAACCCAGTTTTTTCTGATGTTAAAAGGGATATACAAACAAATGACACATTTATCATTGGTTGTAATTATTGTTTGGAAAAGGTAGTCCCTAATCAAGAAATTCAAGACATTATATACACTGATGAACTAATAAATAACAAGCGAGCATTGAAGTCTTTTGGGAGTGCAATGGAGATAAGGCAGAGGAGCAAAGTTGATCCAAGTAATAACATACTTAACCCAGTCTTCAAGTTCAAAGTTTGTGTTTGTTATTTGATTTTTACATTTCATATTTAATCACAAATTCGTAATTCGTCATCAATTCCTACTTTCATAGTTAACCTTAGATAAATCTTTAACACACTTAATTTGCAGCCCATTGGTAGAGCCATCATGGGTGTAATCTTCCAAACTTGCAGAAGATGGCCATCCGGATATTGAGCCTAACGACTACCTCGTTGGGTTGTCGGCGAAAGTGGAGCACTTTTGAGATGCTATGTTAGTTACTAACTTACTATGCTACTTAAGTTTAAAATTTAAACAATTAAATTATTAGTTTACTTCTAGTTTTAAGTAGTACCAAACGACTGCACAAAATACCTTAAATATGCTCAACCAAAAACGAAAACTGAACCCCTCTAATTTGGACGATAATTTAAGCCTGCAAATAGCCCCTATTTGAACCATTAACTAGTAGAATAATAGGTCCATTTCTCACTCCTAGACATTACGCGATGTCTGCACAATCCATCAGAAATTTTATACTTCGAAACAATATTTTATATGCTTTGAGTGACCATTCAAGTAAAATACCAATTCTGAGCTATGTAGCTGGATTCCAGCAACGGACATGATATTCACAATGATGAGGCAAAATGACATAAGAAAGATAAATAAGTCCTTAAAAACTTTAAGAAGATCACTAATCGTATAAAGGACACTATTAGCTTTGTACCATGGCCATTGAATGATAAAGAGGAGTAAATTCCTTGCAACCAATACAATGAATTAAGGAACCACAGGCTGCAATGAGGCCAATTCAGAACCTACAGTGACTTAGGGCAAGCATACCTTCATTCAGATGACCATAATTGAATCAAGACCAAGTTTAACCCAAAATAAAACACAAAAGTATAAAACATAATTTCACCCCATGTGCCGCACCCAACAGGGCTTTGTAGAAAACCACATACTTGAGCATGGAAAAAAAAGGAAAAGAACACGACAAAAATGCATGAATCAGGCACTCACTCACTCTCTATCTCTCGACAGATTAACCAAGGAAAAGCACCAATCCAGTGAAAGCAAGCAAATAAAATTCAGAAAGGCCATCATCAAGCTTTAAACTCGGGACAATTATCAAAAGATTAACGATCAAAATATGGAGACATGCGCACACACAAGCACAATTGGGGTTTAGAAAGAAGTCAAGAAGGAGAGATGGTACCGGAGCATAAGGGAGAAGGAAAAGCCAGACGACGTATACACCCTCCATGATCCATAACCCCACCTGCTGAGCAAGTGTCAGAGGAGATTGACCATCTAATGCCTCCTTTGATGAAGCCTTGGAGGTGCCATCCTTTTCAGATGCTTTGCACAAAATCCCTTTGCTACTTACTCTAGAGCTTGTTGTAACTCTCTGACTCAGAAGATGAAATGAAGAGGAGGAGGAGGAGGAGGAGGAGGAGGAGGAGGATGAACCATATCCTTTTCTTAATATTTTGTGGAGATGAGGAGAACAAGGCAAGCAGGGAGAGCCATTGATTGTAGGCTTGAGAAAGAAAGGAGAGAGGAGAGAGGGTAAGGAGGACATTTCTTCCTTCGTCCCACTGCCCTAACCCCACTGATACTGATACACTCTCTGCTCTCACTATGTACAAATCTCTCACCTCTCTCTCACACACCACCACATTATGAGCGCCACAGTGGTGCCCATCTGTCGCTAGATTTTAAGTTCTTTCTCTCATGGTTAGCAAAATCTCCCAATCTGATCGCTGACCGCCCAGGTAGATCCGGTTTTGAACGGTTAAGATGATAAACCGCTATTTTTAAATAAATAAATAAATATGTATAAATTCTCGAGATTAAGGAATTTGATGTGAAATATATTTTTAAATATTATTTATGTTATAGTAAAAATTAAAAATTATTTTGATCATTAATATTTATTTTTATATTTTTTTAAAAATAATCAAAAAATTATTTATTATTAATTTTCAACTTTATTTTAATGTGTTTTGTTTTAATTATTTTTTATATGTTTTTTATATTTTATTAGATATTTTTATGTCTTTAATACTTTTTGACGGCCCAAAACTTGACCGATTAGAACTGTTGAATCGATCATTTTATTGGTTTGGCCGGGTAAACTGTATCATATCCATGTCCATTGAATTGTTCCTATTTGAACTGCTCTCTCTCCACCCACCACCACATTGGTTTGAAGATGAGACCGTTCAGTAGTTGGATACGAGTTGTTGCGATGGCGTGGCTTCCCTTCAACAGTACTTATGGTGTGCATATTTGGTGAAAATTTGCACTAAGGTGGAGAGATCTTATTTGCTTGAAATGATTGCAAGCTTTTTCGGGAAGGTTCATATACTTTCCTTGCATGTTGGAAAGACCGACGATCTAATCGGTAACCATGGTTAGATCACGAGCCGGTTTCGGTTTTGGGTGATTTGAGTGATCGGTAGGTATTTTAGCAAAAACAAAATTCAAAACAATATGTATAAAATCTCAAAAATAAAGAATTTAGTTTGTAATATATTTTTTAATATTTTTACATCATGGTAAAGATTAAAAATCATTTTGGTCATTAATACTCACTCTAATATTTTCTCATATTTTTTGAAAAATTTTAAAAGTAACCATAGTCACAAATCGATTATTTAAAATTTTATTAATTTTCAACTTCATTTGGATGTGTTTTGTTTAAATCATTATTTATATGTTTTTCATATTTTAGTAGATTTGTTTGTATCATTTTTATTTTTTTCAATATTTTTTTGACTACCTAGAACTTTCGCGGTTAGAACAGTTTTAATCGGCAAGTTTAATGGTTAGGCCACTTAAACCGCTTTCTGGCCCCATGTTCGGTTAACCGTTCCAGTTCGATTTTGCAAATATTGTTTTTCCTACTACATTGAAGATATATGCTCATTCAACTGTCCAATTTAGATTATTGAGCTACTGATTGTTTGATTTAGATATCATGCCTCATAGTTCTTTATTTGTAGTTTTATTTCTACAAATATAAAATTTGGTATGTGCAATCATCTTAATCGAGCACACTTAAAAAAATATTAAAGATTATTTTTCTATAAAATATAATAAGAAAAATACCTCTAAATTTTCAGAGGTATTTTAATTATTTTATTTTATTAAAAATATTTTTTTATATTTTTTACCGATACGATTTTAAGAGAGGAGTAGATGCTCAAATTTTGGTGTCAAAACAATTTATAAAAAAATTAAAAATAAAATAGTATAGAGACTGACGTTCAGCCGTCGATTCAAAATGTACGTAGGGGATGAAGCTCGCCCAGCTTTTTATAGACGAGCAGCGAAAGAAATACATTAAGAAATTCAAAAGAAGCAAACAGGCCTAAGCCAAACCAAGTCAAATGTAAAAACCACTTCTGTCCAGCCCCTTGTTTGGCCAGTAAATTTGCATCCCCATTTAATTCCCTATAAATATGGCTAAAGGAGATATTACAAACATTTGTTGGTTGGAAGTACAAGGCTTGTAGGCTCCAAGGCAAGTGTTGTTGAACCTTATACCACTTAATCTCACATTTGAAGAGTCTCTTTCAACTTCTATGGCATCTCATCTGTGATAATCAAACCGCATGCTACAACTCTCATCACCACTTCCTATTGTAGGAATGCCACAGGGACTACATTGACTCATAATTACTCTTCACAAATGACTTCTAAGCAAGCTGCCCACACCTGCCATTTCTAGGTTATCTTCCAACAAATTAAACTTTGGAATACTTGTAGCTAGGGGTTTCCAAACTCTTATTAATTCCTCCTTTTCCTCCCTATTAGGATCACTTCTTTAAGATTTTAGATTTAGTATCATATCTATTTTTGTCATACCCCAACACTGATTTTTTATTAACGACCAGCTGATCAATTTCGAGTATCTTTTCTTTTAATTTTCTTCTTCCATTACTCTACCTTCAAAAAGTCTTCTCTCTCTCTCTCTCTCTTTAAATTTTCCATAATATAGCAGCCTTAAAATATCTCCAAATAACCACGCCCACTTTTGAAATACTAGGACAATGAATAGATTCAGATACATTTACAACTCTTGGAGGAATAATCAAAATATTTCCCATCCCCCAAGACCAAATTCCATAAGCAATTGGGCTTTAGATGATCACAAAATTCATTATCATTTTTATACATCATACAAATATTAACAATTAAGCGACCTCTCTTTTTCAAATTATCCATAGTGAGCATTCCACCGGGGGCAAGGATCCATAAAAAGGCAATCAATCTATGGGGTGCTAGCCTCTTCCATAATATCGCATGCTTGGGATACAACCACCTAGCCCTATCATGGTATAACCAAAAATATAGATCCTTAATCGAAAAGGCATCACTAGTTTCAAACTCTTAAACTGCTTCATTTGCACTTCTTGGCCAAATATCAATATTCTTCGGTTCCTTTATCAGCAATGTTATTTGGTCAAACATAAGACCTCGAATGCTATCGTATTTATATTTGATGTTCCAATAACCTGGCCCGCCATCATCGAACACCTCTAAAATATTTGCTCACTAGTCTTTCCACATCAAAGTAATGTCAATCTTAGACTATTGAAATAAGACACACCTCAAAAACTTGCTTAGAGATATTGTTTCGACATTGTAAAACACTAACTTGACCTCGAGATATATGGAAATAAAAAATAAAAAAACATTGTTTCAAGTGTCGAAAATAGTGCATCTTGTAATACATTGTCTAGACCCTCTGTTTTTAAAATTTTCAAGTGTTTGGAGATCTGCTCAATCCATACTTTTTTTTGGGACTTTAAATTTCAGGGCAATTTTTTCTATGCTTCCCCTATGACATAAAACTTATATACTTCTCCTTATCCAACCATCCATTCTGAATAGAGGACTAAGCTTTTTTCCAATCACAATGTCATGTCTCTACACTATTTTTTTTTTAATTTTTTTTTTATGAACTATCTTGTCACCAAATTTTGTATGTCCAATCCTCTATTAAACTTGAAATAGCAAAAAGTATACAAAAAATATTTTCGATAAAAGAAAATGACCAAAATACCCTTAAAAGTCTCAAGGGGTATTTTGGTCATTATATTTTATCGAAAAAATATTTTTAATAGGTGCACCCCAATGAGAATATGGCATGTACCAAATTTCATACTCATACAATTTGTATAAAAAAACTAAAAATAAAATACTTTGAGACGTCAGATCTAAAATCAAACGATGAGTGGCTCTCTTGATCAAAATTGGATGGCTGGATGGTAGGGGAAGCATAGATCTTCTATGCTGTAGGGAAAATATAGAAACCTTTCCCTAAATTTCATAAAATGATCGGAAAGTAGATCAGGTGTAGAGTATGCATGTGAAGTAATAGTGGGGCATACTTCTAAGGATACTCAATATTCATGAATAATGAATTATGGAATGATAAAGAAGCTACTATAATCTGAATTTTATAGAAAGCAATAAAGACGGAAATAAGGTTTTTCAATGAAGAAGGTAAACTATGTGGGTTATCTCATAGTCTAGACACCATGGATATGGAGATGAACTCCAAATGGCCATGAGAGAACACCATGTTTCAATGGGGGAAGTAGGGGAAGAACAAGATAGATCTTAAGGAGTGGGCCGCATGTTTTTTCTCTCTCTTCTCTCTCTAAAATCGACTTCAGGTAAGTTAAATGAACTTGAGTGACTAGTGGTTTTGTGACATACTAAGTAATTTAACATTGGCCCTTGATGCTCATCATCCATGGTATATAAAGGGGCACTCATCTTAGCCACATATCCCTATCTAGCTATCAAGATGAAGGGATGTCATTTCACACAATTATTACTCCTTAAAATAATAGATTATGTCAATTTACCACATTGTCCTAATATCTTAAACAATTGTCTTATAAACCATTTTACCACTCCAAAATTGCCTATCGAATGCTTTTAAAAATAATAAAAGACCAAAGAGGGAGTTGTGTGCACCTTTGGGATTTGAAGAAGATATTTTCTCAACCAATCACATAATGCCATTTCAAAAATTCACGTGGGCTTAGTCAGTAGAAAAATCCCACTCAAAAAGGTAAGTTATAATAAAATTTCCATTTAAGACTTAAGATTTAAGCCATATTTTCAAGGCTTACCCTTACCCTAGGCGCAGTGATTACACCTATATATGTGATAATTAAGCATGTGATAAAATCAATCGCTTAAATTTAAAACATAATTTTATTTAAAACCTTATAAATGCTTTATGAACAAATCACTAAATTTCAAAGGAGGACGCTAAGGGCCTTTGGTGTCATGCTGATTGGTCGGGGCCTGATTTTCTCGGGTTCCCTCGCGTGGGGGCTCGGGGAGAAGATTCTCTCTCAAACAACTACCGCAGGCTCACGCGCATGGCGTGTCGGGTGACACGGGCGCGCTAGCTTTCTAGAGTGCAGATAGGCTACCAAAGAAGAGAGAGATTTTACGACGGGGAAAGGTTGATTCACTTACCTCGTCATTGCGGGCTAGTGGGACACATCCGGGCGGGTCGTCCTCTTAGATCAGTTACGAAAGCCCTTCAGTTGCTCACCAACGCAGTTTGGTTAGGGACTCTCTTCGAACGTTACGACCCTCTTCTCTCCTCTCAAGTCTAGGTTTCGATGGATGTCTTGATTCTTCGTTACGGGGTTAGCTTTATTTTTGTTTATCGAACAAGCAAATGAGGAACTTTGTCGTTCTTATCAGGCCATCGAAGCGAGGAAGAGGGATTAGACACGGATGCATATGGTTCGAAACCTTTTTGTT